TATATATATATATATATATATATATATATATATATATATATATGTAAAATATGTTAATTTTGTAGCTTTTGTCTAAAATATATATATTTTAAAAATGTGGGTATATTCTCTTGTTTCATTTAATTGTTTTTAAAAATGATAGTAATGTGTCATTTCTTCTGAGGTCATTCACTATATCAGTGATGGCTAACCTTTTTGTTGTCGTGTGCTGAAAGTGCCCACGCATGCTGCACCCATAATGCAATGTGCGTGTGACACTACCATCCCCGTGACTCCCTTCACACATCTGCCCAACCCTCCCTTGCCAGTTTTTGGCTTCCAGGTTGGTGCAGGAGGCTTTCCAGGCCCAAAATGTGGCATGGGGTGCTGCGCGAGACCCCAAAATACAATGCAAGCACCTCCTGTGCATGTGCCCTTTCCCCCATGCATGCATGCACACGGCCCCCACATGGTCCCCGCACATGTGTGGCAGAGACCCAAAGACCAGCTGGCCGGCAGGAGGCGTGTTCGCATACGGGCTGGAATGGGCCAAGGCTGGCGTCCCCGCAGAGAGGGCTCTGTGTGCCACCTGCATGCCATAGGTTCACCATCATGGCACTATATTATAGAAAAATAGCCTGTTGTTCATTAATAACTGTGAGAGGAAGGTCTTAGAAAAGGATCTTGATTAAGAACTTTTGTCAAAATCATGCTAACAAATAAACAATGAGTAAATTTATACTTAAAATGGCACATTTATAAAGTATTGTAAACTTGCTTTTCCAAACATTTCAACAGAAGTTGTGTTTATTTCAGACTTATTTCCTAAGCCAGACAAAAATATTAGTCTTTGTTTTGACATTACAAAACTATTCTTTTGGATATAGCAAGCTTTAAAATTTGCCCTTTTTGATTGCCAAATTATTCCTGTTCCATAGCAACCCTTTTTATGAAATCAAGTTTGGAATAGGATTTTTCAACTTTTAGCTTCTAATGGAGAAAGTCGGAAGCCTCACCCCTCTTGAACCAGGGATTCCAGATCTTTTTTTTTTAATGAACAGGTTCTGCATCCTGTAAGAATTTAAAACCTCTTGGTTTAAAGTGTTACAGCAAAGAATAACATCTATGCATTTTAAGACTTTAATACCTTTTCCTCTATTCTGCTTTTGGCTTTCTTGAATTACATTTCAGAGTTCTCAAGTGATTACCCAAACCAAGCACTTTTACAAAACTTTATGTTATCCACTTTTTGCTTGTTACTTTAGCTGGCAGAGAATTTAATCAGCATGACGTAAAACAAATTGGAAAGGAAAAATTAACTGTTCCAGTACTTCACCTTAACATCTAGAAATCAGGAAAAAAAATGCCTTTCTATCTAGTAACTGATAATTTCGGGACTTTATATGTTATGCTGAAGAGATCACAGAATGAGAAAAAATATCCTTTATGCAAAATGCAAACTTAGTACCCTGTTTCCCTGAAAATAAGACCTCCCCAGATAATAAGCCCAATTGGGCTTTTGAGCACATGTGCTAAAATAAGCCCTTCCTGAAAATATTGCAACACAGCAGCAGCCATGAGGTGACCATGCTTGCCGCCTCTTGCACCTCAAAAATAACAAGACCTCCCCGAAAATAAGGCCAAGCGCTTATCTTGAGGGTCAAAAGAAAATAAGACCATGCCTTATTTTGGGGGAAACATGGTATAAACATATCAAGACACATAGGTTATTTAAAAGGTCTGCTTTATTTTTATAACCAGAAAATTGACTTCTTAAAGTTAGTTTTGTGTAATGAGACAAGTTACATTTATATTGCTCTTTATTTTCTATTTATGTCCATACTCACAGTTGTAAAACAAACCTGCTGGAAATTTGGAGAGATTAGGTTTTCATCTGCGTAATTTGAGTTTATATTGCCACATATATTAACTCTTTTACTTGTAGTTTGAAGAGCATAGAATGCTGTGAAAGAGATAGATTCAAGGTCAGTTTAGAAAAAGAAACTGAAAATAAAACATTCAAGATTATAATGCTAATCTTAAAACAATGGTGTACTAAAAAATTATGTATACCTCTGGTTCATGGGTATCAGACAAAATCTCTCTATATAAAAGCGAAATGCCAATCGTGCTTCATCACAAAATCTCCAAAACTGTAAAGCATACAAATCTGAAATTTGGCATGTATGTTCCTCTTGGCTTCTAGGTGCTCGCTAAGAAAGGATTTGTCGAAATGACCATCAGATCATTAGTATTTCTTATACAGTATTATATTAACACTCTGATGCTAAGGAGTTAGATATTCTACTCCCTTTCCCCACTGTTCTGTTCCAACTGCCAGTTGCAACTAGGTGCTGGTGGGATTAAAGGGCTTAAACCCATCTATTTTATTATTGTTAGACTTACAATAATGTCTTAATCTGTAACAGAAGCTTAGTTTACCATCTCTAATGAAATAATACAGTGCCTCTATAAACTCCTCATTAATTTTCAAATTTAAATGTCAATTTATCAAGCCCGATCACATAGTTTCATAGCGAAGCATGTGTGTGCAACTAGATATATAGAAAATTAATTTAAAGAATCAGGGAGTTGAAACAGTTTTTCCATGTGGAAAGACCATAATTCTTCCAAGGATATTTCATGGATTTTTATTCATTGAGTAAAGATAATAATAAGCTTTTCTCCATGTTTCATATTACCTGCACTAAGCGGGAGACAATAAAGCTAATTGGCAGGAGAATCAATACAGGTAAAATAATGTATTAATTCATACAACACATTATTGAATGGTAATGAATGGACTAAGTGGGACCTTTGTCTGTTTCTTAATACAAATTGACATGTATATTTGTTTTCCACAGTTTGCAATTTTATGTCTCATGAGAAGTGCCTGAAGTATGTGAAGATACCTTGCTCATCTGTCGCTCCAAGTCTCGTAAGGGTAAGTTGCTCATGCTTTGGGAAAAGCTAACTATTCAGTGGAGTGTAACTGGACAGCTGGTCTAGTCTAGTCTTATCATCAGCCACAAGAAGCTGACTGGGTGACTTTGAGTCAGTCACTTTCTCCAGTGCAACTATTTCATAGAGTTGCTGTTGTGGAAATAGTGGGTGGAGGTGCTATGTTTCCTGGGCTCACACAAATTTGCCTTGCACAGCTAATAAACTATATGTGAGAAAAGAAACATTTTGTTTAAGTTCTCCCTGATAAATGCTGTATAGGGCTCCATGACACATTTTGCCCTTTGACTCTTGATAGCAACACAGCCATACTATCCAATTCATCTCATATCATTCTTACGAAAAACCTTTTCTTTTCACTTCTTTTTGGCTGTCATGTTAATGAAAATAATCACAATAAATGTTTTTTTGATTATCACATGTTTATGAAGCAGACAATCACTACGTTATATTTGCCCCTCAATTGGATCAGTTGGATGGTTTATGTTCTGTGAGACCCAACAAGCCATGGTTGACTATCCTGGCTTAGCATTACACACAAAAATGGGCAGCATGCTATGTTAATGTATACAGTCAGTGTTATATAATGTTGAATAAACAGTTATATAAATAAACAAATAAACTATCCTGCAAAAGTATATCCATTTAAGGATATATTTTTTTCAATATTTTCTATGCCTGGAAATATTTCTTCCATTTTTAATGTAAATATGTTGTTAGTTTTAGTTACTAGAACCCTAATTAATGCTAATAGAAAGTTTACTTTCTGATATATAAATGTAATCAAAGTATCCTCATTTATCCAGAATTATAGTCATAATTTTGATAATTCTGGGATTTTAGAAGTGTTGTACTTGCAAGTCATTGTAAGCCATGATGATCAAAATGAAAATGAAGAGAAACATTTTGGTATATATGTATGGAGTTTGGCCACGTACTAGTTTACCTAAACCTAAGCCAAAATTGGCATTTTTCTTTTTGTGTTGCATAATATATGAAATCATGTTTTATGTATTAGTGCTGTGTGGGAACTAGAGTACCAGGGCAAACTATTAAAAATAATGCCTTAAAAAATACTGATTTATTTTTGCGGGGAATTCATCCCTGATATGAAATTAGTTAATATCAAATGGACATACCCATATATACAAGAATACAAGCCAATCATTCAGTTTAAACAATTGCTATTTATTAAATTACTATTTATGGGGATTTTTGTTGAGTAAGTTATTGGTGGTGGCAATTGGTGTTATAACCAAATCAAGAATGGTTTGAGATCCCCAACTGACTTTCCTGTCTGGTGATAAAGGTTGAAGAAAATCTTTAGATGATAAAATTGTATCACTGGAATGAATACAGGTAGTCTTTTTGTTTTGATTATTATGCTACTTATAAGCTATATTTTTGATTGAGGAGGTCGTATCCTCCCTCCACCCATCCAGTAACTTATTTAAGAGAAAAATAGACTGATAAACATTGAAATGGTAGTAGATGTGATGTGGATATAGAAGATCATAGGTTTAATCTTGTGACATTTTTGAAGGTTTTGGACTCCTCAGCACTAGAAGATATCATGAAAAGTCTCAGCTGCTTCTGTTTATTAAAATGAATCTCCTCCAAATCAACTTTAATTCCTAATGACTTCATGGATATCTTGGCCACAGTAAGGAAGTGGCTTGTTATTACCTTCTTCGGAGATATTTCTCAACTGCTCTATTTTAGTATCCATTCAAATACTATCCAGACTTAATGCTGTTTGCTTTCCAAGCCAAGATGTGGTCCCTATTAATTATATTTTCCTAATGAAGTATCTTCTTTGGTAGAGAACAGCTCTGGATTAGCTTCATGAAGCAGATAGTCAACTTGGTTCTTAATACTTAAAAAAATAACGGAATGCTTAAATGCAATTTATTTTGTGAGTGAGAAATGTTTATTTATATACTCTAATCCCATTCCAGATTATATAAAGTGGCTATTTTGGGAAGATGTGGCACATGAAGGGTGTTAAAGACATTTTTTGTGATGGATTCTTAGACCATTTTAAAATTGCAAATCATAAATTGCATTTTTAAATTATAATTTCAAGGTTGATGAAAATCTGGCAATGGATCAATTTCAACTAAATTTTTAGCTCAAGTTAATTGAAACTGGACCATTTCTGTATCTTCCTGAACATGTCGCTCTGAAGCAGGATATGGAATTCAAGGTCAAATGAAGTCTTGTGAACTCAGATGGTTGGCATGAATAAGATAAGTTTTGTGTCAACAACTTTCAGAGAATTATGGAGTTAGCATACTATGACTAATCTTTGTTGCTTGGACTTAGTTACAAGCTGGCTCTAACTCATGATGTTTAAGAAGCTTTTTGTGAACAGCTTGTATTTGTAAGTTTCAATGGCTATTTTTGATTCTTCTTGGGGATTCCTTCTCAAATAATGTTGAATTCAAAAGTCAGTTCATGACTTTGTGATATTGGTTTGACTGAAACTTATGCCACGGCTGCTTTAAAACAACTTTTATTGTAGGTACACTGCTCTTCTTCAGTATTTTCAGTGCTGCTGAACACTTTCCCTCCTTGATAATTATTTAATTGCTCTAACACAATTGGATGAGTGCTGCTTCTAAATGTACCTAATATTTATTGTGAAGGAGGTAAATTAATGGAACAGTACCATTTTTATTTGTTTATAATTATTCTTAAATGGATGTAAATGGATTGCTTTCAGAGTGCTGCAAAATATTCTAATAAACTATAGCATTTAAATAGAACTTTGCACCTGAAAACATAGCACTTGATTAAGCTTTGACTGAAACATCACAAGATATCATTCAGGGTATTTTGATAAGAAGAACATCTTGAAGTGAGAAAGCTCATTTTGGTGTGGATCAGTTGTTTAGGCAGACTGTTGACTGTACATACTGGTATATCCCCAATTGCCCCTTTGTAGCTTTGATTTCTGGATTGGGTGAGACCTATATTTTCAGTCCATTTTTATTGTTTCAATGGAAAATAGTTAAGATTTCTCTTTTCAATTCCCAAACAAACAAACAAACGGGCTAATTCCTGTTTTCTCAAATTCTAACCTGTGTGTTGCAAACCCTGGTTTTGAGTATTCAGAATAATGTCAAAAAAACTGAGCTTGAGACAGGACTTGTGCCATTCACTTTTTTAACGCATGTGGTTGAATTCTGCCATTGTATCCTTGTGTTTTCAAGATCATTCTTAGTTCTTTCCAAACAAAACTCCTTCCAAATAAGATCAGAAAAGACACAGCTGTTCTTCTGCACTTTGTTCAAGACTAAAGGAAATAAGCTTTGAGAAAGTTGGCACATATTCAACTTTTTTTTTAGTTACCCTAATGTTGAAAAACTTTGACTATGGCTGTTTCATCTGTTTTTCAGAAACTAGATTATCTTCATTTTTGATAGACTGTTCAAGACAGTCCATTAATTGGATCCTGTGGGAGAGTTAAATTGGTTTCAAATCCTGCATTCATTTTCCTCCTCTTTAGAGGGACAGGGAATGAAGACTTGATTGTTAATGTATATACCATCCACAGAGTTATATACAGGAACTATTTTTTTAATATGTTAAGGTCTGGTTTAAAATTTTAAAACCATGCCTATATGTATATGTGTGTGTGTGTGCATTGTATGTCTTTGCATTACATATCCCAACAACTATGCAACAATTTAATAATGTGTTGTATTACTGGAATATTCTTGTGTTCAGTTATTTATGCAAATAGAATATTATTCTATGCTAAGATGAGGCTGTGTTTCTCAGCCTGTATCTACAACTTTGACCTGTATCTAGCATTGTTACCTGGGGAATTCTGGGAATTGAATTCAATATCTCTTGAACTTGCTACGGTAGAGAAACTCACTTGAGGAATCTGATCTAAAGGTCCACAATGTATGTTTATGCTGATTTGTATACTGTTTTCATGATCTATTATCCATAAAATGCTCATATAACTGAAGTATATTTGTTTAGCAGATGGTCAGTTTCAAAAGATTATTATCAATGCCTTTTTGCTAAAGTCTAAGGCCTTGGATGACAATAATGTTTTGTTGGGAAGGGTTTTTTCTCTCTCAAATAGGAGAAAAAAGTATGATTATTTTTTTTATTCTTATTTAGAATAAGAAGAGATGTTTTAATGCTTCAGTGGACATTTCCCTTCTTTGTACCACCTCCGTTGATATTCAGTACAAGTAGTCCTCAACTTACAACAGTTCATTTAGTGACTGTTCTAAGTTACGATACCGAAAAAGTGACTTATGACCATTGTAGCATCCCCATGGTCACATGATCAAAATTGAGATGCTTGGCAACGGGTTCATATTTATGAAGGTTGCAGTGTCCCGGGGACACTTTTGGGATTTTCTGACAAGCAAAGTCAATGGGGAAGCCAGATTCATTTAACAGCCCTGTTACTAACTGCAGTGATTCACTTAACAACTGTGGTAAGAAAAGTTATAAAATGGGACAAACTCACTTAACAAATGTTTCACTTAACAACATGAATCAATTGTGGCTGAAAGTCAAGGACTACCTGTATATAGTTGCACTTGAGCCTTTGTGTTAGGTTTCTATTTTTATTTTCCAACATTTCTGGAAAAGAGATTTTGACAGGAACCTTCCCTATTTGCTCTACCTGGCAAGACAAAACAAAACAAAAAGAGCTATTGAGTGGTTATTCAAAGTTCTGCCATTGAATTAGCCTGTTTAGTAAAATACTAAACTATTACTATTACGGGTATTACTACAATGTTTGGTTTAACCACCCTTCATTTACTCTTGAAAAAAAATGAGACAGCAATCGGCTGAGGGGCTTTGGGTAGATCTTTCTACTGCTGGTCGTAGTTTTCATCTGCCTATCAGAAACTGGTCACTCCAGTTGTGGGGTCCATTTCCAATTCTCGTTTTTCCTTGGCCATATGCTTTCTGTGGCAAGTTTGGTTTGTCTTAACAAAGCTCTTGTTTTTATTGGAAGATGGGTGACATTTTTGTAGCAGCTTAGTGGTACCGCTGGGAGTAGATGAACACATTGAACTGGGAGTTCTCCATAGTGAGGGGGAAGGAATATCCAGGATGGGGTTGACCTTGTCCTCTCAGGATTGGAAGAGTCAGATAAGCTCTTTGGGCAACGCCCCCTGGCCACCAGGTATTCCCCATATTTGACTCATCCACTCACTGGAAAGCAATAGCAATAGCAGTTCGACTTATATACCGCTTCATAGGGCTTTCAGCCCTCTCTAAGCGGTTTACAGAGTCAGCATATTGCCCCCAACAANAGAATTCCCCAGCCAGCGAATGCATTCGCTGGCTGGGGAATTCTGGGAGTTGAAGTCCAGACATCTTCAAGTTGCCAAGGTTGAGAAACACTGCACTAGAGGGAGATGCCTGCTATATCTCTGCATGAGTCTGTTCTCTATCCTCGGTTTCATCTGCAAACGGGCCATTTGACTTTGTCTTTTCCATCCAGAATAGCCAAAGCATTCATTCAATCTTGCTAGAGATCAATGCCTGTCACATATCTGCAGGAGTTCCTGCTCTGATCTTCCTTCCTTCCAATTAATTTTTGCGGAATAATTTTTCTGGGTTCTGCACAGGGGTAAAATCCAGCAGGTTCTGACAGGTTCTGGAGAACCTGTAGCGGAACTTTTGAGTAGTTCGAAGAACCGGCAAATACCACTTCTGGCTGGCCCCAGAGTGTGGAGGGAATGGGGAGTTTGCAGTAACCTTCCCCTGCCATGCCCACCAAGCCATGCCCACAGAACCGGTAGTAAAAAAAAATGAATTTCACCACTGGTTCTGCACACCTTTTCAAATGCACAGATGCATACAAGCCTTCCCTTCTTCCAGAATTTCCATTGTAAGCAATTGATGGCTGTAAGACAAAGCTTTCATGGAGCCAGACCCAATTGTATGACTTTTATTTTTTTTGCACTGCTCGTTAAGGGAATGCTATGGTCATTAAGTGAATCAATGTATTCTTAAGGGTGATTTTTTTTATTTTGCCAAAAGGGGCTGAAAAGATCAGAAAGCCAGCAAAAACATTGTAAATCTGGTCACCGAAGACTGAAACCGCCTGTAAAGGCGAGTTGCTTGCCAAGCCCCCGAAATTGCAGGCATGTGACTATGGGGTGGGTGTGTTTGTGCAGTCTAGAATTGGGTTATAAGTAGAATTTGTGGAGTCTGTCAACAGCTTCAAGTGATCATTAAGCAGATGGGCATTAAGCAAGGACTATCTGCATTCTGCACCATTGCCTCCAACATGGTTGGGCTCCCTAAATCAGGTGTCCAAATTTGGGAACTTTAAGACTTGTGGACTTCAACTCCCAGAATTCTCTGGGAATTGAGAATTCTGGGAATTGAAGTCCACAAGTCTTAACGTTCCCAGGTTTCTGCCCTAAAATATTCCAAAGAACAATCAGAACAATCTGCTTTTCAGGGGAGCCTGCCCGCTGCATCTCTGAATGCTTTGGCTTCCCGCCCTCTTTCATTCACCCTCCTTCTGAAGAAGTGGAAAGGGGGGGGACTCTGTTGATCCAGAGCGTGTCGGAGGGAGGGGTTGTTTCTTTGGTTTTTAATCCACCCACCCACCCACTCCCTTCTTCATGTGCCATGGCTTTCCGATCAATTCAGAACAGCAACTTACAAAGAGTGGGCAGCATTTCCTATAAGAGATTGCCTTTCATTTGGCACGTTTAAAATTATTCCCCCCCAACACACACAAACACACACTATTTTCACTGCCTAAGCATGAAGCAGGCCTCTAGTTTCAAAGTGAGGGGGGGCGCGGGAGAGTGAAGGAAAGAGCCAGGAGACCAATCTCTTCTTTGCTCCATTCGGTCGAATGCACAGGAATGCGTTCCTCCCCCGCGCCGCTCCCCCCCCCCCCCATATCCTGTGCCACTGGGCACAGGCTCTGAAATCTGGCACGGGTTCAACTTCCTGATGGGAATCTACCAAACCCTCAAGCAAAGCTTGGAGTGCTT